ATAAACGTAAATAAGAAAGAAATGCTTTTTATTTTTTTAAAAGGTTTTAGTAATGTTAACAAAATTTCTCAGATTTTCAAGAGTGGACACATGAGAATTATACATTCATTCTATTTAATATTGGCGTATATTTAGTATATGTGTATTTAGAATTGAACCAATACATTAAGTCATAGTTTTGCCGTATTAAAAGCTATGTTAAACTAGATTGGTTGTAATTATTTTCATTCCCATTCAATGAATAACCATGTAACTAAACAACTCAGCGGAAGTTACGCTATTGGCTGGAATATAATAATTGTGGACTACTGATTCGATTAATATTGCTTACTGAAATTAATAAGAATGCTTTCAAAACTACATCCAGGTCCTCAGGAACAAATCGTTTAAATACTCAATATTACAGGTTGAAGTTAATTTTATCAACCTTTTGAAGCTCTTAAACAGTAATAGCATAGTATTTTAATTTTATTAAAAAATACATTCCTTGAAAAAGATTTTCTTTGTTTTTGTTTGAGTTCTATTATGCATATTATTGTAAAATATAAAAAATCCTGGATGCGGACCTTATATCAGGTTCCATTTTCACCCTTCTCAGAATAAAATTACCCGCTTCTTCAGGTAGATCGTGTAACTGAATTCTTTTGACAATATTTCTCAGGTATAAAATATTTCTCTACCTGAGGAACAAAATGGTAAGCAAGTTCGTTAAAATACTGTCTCTAAATATGCGGATTTCGTTGCGTTTTAAAAACCTGGGCTATACTGTGATCGTAACTCGTAACACTAATGTACCTAACAAGAAATAAAATTTAGATTTATTAGATTGTTTATAGGGGTTTCCTTACTAAAACGTTTCTTATTGTGTTTCTTGATAGTACCCAATATTTTTGTAGATGCTAATAAAGCAAAAAACAAAGGAAAAGTACATTTTACGACTCCCAATAGCTAAACTATTATTTATTCCAGTAAAAAAATATTCTTTTTAAATATGTCTAAAAAAGATAACGTGTATTTTTCATGTGAATATTAACACATTTTTATTTTCTTTATTGTAGCATCTAAATAAATATGTATTACTGTTGAACAAATATTATTGAAAGGCTTCTTTCTTATAAAATTAGTTTAAAATATAATACGGTCTGGTTTACTGCATTTATCATGTACAATTCGTTTATAACCATTTACAACAAATGGCACTAATTAAATTTTTAATCCAATTTTTAGTATTAAAGAGGGCTTAAAAAAATAAATTCAAGATTATAAGTAATAATATTATTATCCAAAAACGAAAGTGTTACAAATACAGCTTCTGTAATGAATTATTAAAAATTTTTGTTTTATGTAGAACACTTAATTTAAATATATAGATTACAGATTATTTTCTTAATAAAAATGCGGCATCTTGTTCATATCACTCTGTATTTTAAAAACGTAAAGTGTGTATACAGTGCAGAGGTAGCGAAAGCAGTGGTGTATTGTGTGCGGTATAACTATGTAGAACTTTTAATTAAAATTTAAAGAAAAGATGTCCTTATGAAAGTTTTACTACAATAAATAAAACGGAGCGTATAATTGTTTAACTAATTTATTAGTACAAAAAAATTGTCACAGTTACGTACATGTACTTAAAAAATTATTAACGTTAATTATTTAAACTCTCTTGAATTTCTTGAAATGTTTTTCCTTTTGTTTCAATTAAAACGAACCATGAAAACAACACTCCTATAAAACAGCATCCTGCTAAAATCCAATATGTACCGGCCAAACCTACCCCTTCCGAGATCGTAGAAAATAATTTTACGACCAAAAAGCCTAACACCCAACAAACAACGGCAGACGCTGTGGATGCCGCAGATTTAACATTGGATGGAAATATTTCACCCATTACCGTCCATGGTAGGGGCCCATATCCCAGATTATAACAAATAAAAAATATAATCAAACAAGCTACCGGTAACCAAAAAAGATCATTCAAAATTTCGCTTTTATTAGCTTTGAGATAAAAATAAAATCCCAAAGGGATTTCTGCGATCATCATCCCAACGGCAGATATAAAAAACATCTTCTTCCTTCCAAATTTATCCACAATAAGGGGTGTTACAATACTAGCCAGCAATTGAACAATCCCTATTATAATAGACGACAGCACTGGGGAGATACTACTCCCAGTCGAACCGAAGATGCTTTCGGAATAAGTTAAAAAGGCATTAATTCCGCAAGCTTGTTGGACGAACATCAATGAAAACACAATAAAGAGAGCTTTGAGAAGAGCTTTGGACTTGATAATATCAAGAGATGAACCCTCTCTATTTTTATCATCTTCCACATTTAGTCTAATATTATTCAACTCTTCTTTTATTAGTGGACTTGAGTCCATTCGGAATTTCTGTAAAGATTTCTCAGCATGTTCCACCCTCTCTTTACCTATCAGAAAATAGGGACTTTCAGGTACGAAAAAGAAGAATATAATAAATAGAGATGGGATGATGGAGCATACCAAACTAAACCACATTATAGATAAATATGGACCTACTAGGTATGAAAGTAACTGTCCACTCGTTACAAAAACGTTCATGGACGATGAGACACCACCCCGAATTGAATCTTCTGCTATTTCGCAATTGAACATGGGCAGAACGGTATAAACGCCACCCATTGCCATCCCACCCACGAACCTCGCAAAATAATATACATAGATCGTTTTGGCAAAGGAAAGAGTAACAAAGGAGACCAAAAATGGTATTCCACAGACCAAGAGAAGGGCATATTTTCGACCAATGGTTTCAGCAGAAAAACCTGCTAACAAAGGACCAAATACTGCTCCGAGAGCTAACATCGATCCAACCCAAGACTCTTCCTGAGTATTTATGACATATCCCAAAGGGTTATTAGCCAGCTGGGTTTCGTTGTTAAGTTTTGGAAACACAGGGGAAGTCCAAGTTGATACTATTCCAGCCGACATGGCAGCCAAATTTCCTGTAAATTAACAGCAATGATTTGTTGGTTGCATAACCAATAATATACGTACATATACAGGGTGTGAAATGTATTCTCTACTTTTCGTAATGTAATTATAAGTTACTACAATTATGCATATGAAAGTAAATCAAATCATCGAGCAAACGTTCTATGTTATTATTGATAAATACTTTATATAAAAAAACCTAAAAAATAATTTTCAGTAGATGTAATATTTCGCAAAAATAATTGATATTAATATTTAGAAATTTAATTGCGTATTTTACCTACGTAAGCTCGAATTTTAATTGCCTAATACTTGATTATTGCTATATTTCACATTGTGTTTATAAAACTGATAACCCCATTATCAGACGTTTACATTTACGTTATATAAAAAAAATTAACACCCTATACTACGTATGCGAAAAGTTACATTAGGTATTAAAAAATTATTTTAAGAAAATCGGTCTCCTTTTATTACTTAATGGACATTAGTTAATTGAAAAGTAGTTGCACTTATGAAATTAATTAAATTAGTTGGTTTTAAATGTGACAAATGGATAATCTAAAAGTTATTAGTTTAACAAAAAGAACATCTTTTCACCCTTTTATCTCATTTTGTTAGTGAAAAAGAAATATCTACCAAAGGACAAAATGGCAACGTATGCATGGACTAACTAAAGGAATAAGTGAGAAAAATTTTACTTAATACGTACCTGCACAGACAGCAGTAAAGAGGTATCTCCTGTTTGTTTTCTGAACCATTATTATTAGTTTTTACACGTTTTAAAAAAGTAACACATTAATTAGCACGTGTACAGTAAAAACATTTTATATAAATTACATAGAAATTGTTCTACCCACCGATATCTTAAGTCAAATAAACTTTTTTATCAGAGATGCTTCCTCTTGACAAAAATTTACAGTACGACAGAACCGACTGACGAAAATAAAACGCTTATAATACCAGTAATAATATTTTACACATAAAACACGTGTTTTTTTTGTAATACATGCATGTGTGTTGATATGTAATGCACCCACCACTAACTTTCTACATCTTCCAAAATTTTCTGATGGTTTTATCTCTTCATTTAGTCTTTAACACACTAACGTAAATTACGCCGATTTTTAATGCTCACAAAAATCTTTCGCAAACACCGGCTATTCTTAATACTTTAATAAACATTTGTAGATAAAGGATTTGGAAATCTTAATCCTATCTTAAACATTTATTTGAACAATTACAGACCAACAAATCATCAGTTAGTAAATTAGCAGCATTGAAAAAGATTATTTGCCCTGTGTTACGTCATTATTTCCGCAAAAAAAAAACAGTTATTTTTCTTTACAGTGCGCTTGAATGTTTGTGTGTTGTGTGCGTGTGAATGTGAGTGTGTGTGTTTTTTAATGTTGTACCTGCAGTTTGGATTACAACAGGGCCGGATTAAGTTAATAATAAATGACGTGAATTACATATTACTAAACATAAAAGAATTACATTACTGTTAACGTTTTTGTGTAAATACTAAATAAAAAAAGATAAGCAGCACACGTGTAGAATGTTAGTTGTGGTTAACTAATACCAATTCCCAAAATGCTTATCAATAACTATAAAATAGTCTATAATTATCACAGTTAGCTAAATGTTGTCAAGATTTCACTGTCAGTTGTGATGTACATAATATATAAATATTAGATTTTAACAATAAATAATTTAAAATGTATTATTTTGAAAATAAATTGTAATGTGATCATTTGAACACTAACTACATGGAAATGTTTTGTTGTAATTAAAAAAACATTTCTTAAGTTCCCAACTATGGTACTAGCAGTAAAAGGAAATTCCAAAAAATGAAAATGGTACAGTTAAGTTAAAATTTATAGGAATAATGGTACTATTAAGAAATTATTTAGAACGAAGAAGAAATTACTTGTTAGACCCCACTTTTTGGCCTAAATTCATATCTTTGGTTTCAATCACGAATAATTGGGTAAAGAACACAGCTAGCACACAAATCAAAGCAAAAATCCATGAAACGTAGTAATTTCCCAAAATATGCGTAATTATTGGAAAAAAGTATGAAACCAATAAATTAACGGACCAACAAAATGTCACTGTTACCATTATAGCGATTTTTTTAATTGTAGGTTGAAAAATCTCCCCCACGATAACCCACGGCACAGGACCGAATCCTATGTTAAACGCAACTTGGAAAAGAATTAATGACAGTATTCCTAGCCACGATTTTTGATCTACACTTTTGATATTGTGTTTTCTACTAAAAAAATATACCCCTTCACCAAAATTGGAAATCATCATCCCCATTCCTGATATAAAAAGAAGCAATTTTCGACCAGTGCGGTCTATGATGAAGGGTGCTACAATAGAAGCCAATACTTGGATCGCACCGTAAATACAACCCGTTAATTCTGCTGATATTTCAGTCACTACACTCCCTTCTAGCTCCGAACCGGTGCACTGTTGGAACGCCATTAAGCCCATTGTCATAAACAGTTCCCTTGTCATCATTAACCTTATACACAGTTGTTTGAATGATATGTTTTCTTCCCTTTCATTTTCGATTGCAACCTGCAGCATCTCCAGTTCGTCTTTGACTTCTTCTTGTGTAGCATTTCGTAGTTTCATTAACACCTTTTCTGCTTCCGAAATGTTCCCACGGGAGAGATAGAAGTACGGGGTGTCGAAAAAACCACTGAAGATGATAAAGAAAGCAGCAGGTATAAGGGAACACAAGAAGGCGTAGGAAGTAATTGATAAACGTGGGCCCACAAATAGAGAAAACAGCACCCCCAAACATTGGAATAAATTAATCAATGACAAAACCTTCCCTCGAAGGGATAACTGTGAAATTTCGCCGAGATACATTGGAAGGGTCACGAAGAAGTTGCCCAGTGCAAAGCCACCCAACAGTCTACCGATGTAGTAAAGAAAAACGAGTTCAGAAAATCCCAAAATAAGAAAAGACACAAAGTATGGAACAGCAACACAACGCATTAGAGTATTTTTTCTTCCGATTTTGTCAACGGTAAATGCGTTATACTTCACGTTATGTTTATAAAACTGACAACCCCATTATCAGATGTTTACATTTACGTTATATAAAAAAAATTAACACCCTATACTACGTATGCGAAAGTTACATTAGGTATTAAAAAATTATTTTAAGAAAATCGGTATCCTTTTATTACATAACGGACATTAGTCAATTGAAAAGTAGTTGCACTTATGAAATTAATTAATTAAATTAGTTGGTTTTAAATGTGACGAATGGATAATCTAAAAGTTATTAGTTTAACAAAAAGAACATCTTTTCACCCTTTTATCTCATTTTGTTAGTGAAAAAGAAATATCTACCAAAGGACAAAATGGCAACGTATGCATGGACTAACTAAAGGAATAAGTGAGAAAAATTTTACTTAATACGTACCTGCACAGACAGCAGTAAAGAGGTATCTCCTGTTTGTTTTCTGAGATTTTGTCAACGGTAAATGCAGCCAATGGGGGACCTATAATGGCACCTAAGGAGAAACTTGCCCAAATCCATGCCTCTTGGTTGGGTGTTATGGCTTTTTTGAATGGATTTTCTTGAGGTGTCTTTTCTGCCTTTAATATTGGCATAACGGGTACTAACCAAACTAGATGCGTTCCGCTAGTAAAGGCAGACATGTTGCCTAAAGAAAAAAGTGTAAATAATTTTTGATAATAAATTTATTTTACAGTTATTTTTATGTTAGTAATTAAACTTACTTATTAAAACCGTGACCCAGAAATAAAGATTTTTAGGTTTAAGTATCTGTTGCCAATTCATTACAATCCTAAGACTCTTGTTTAAGAAAATTTGTCATTTCCAATTTTAGTTAACCACGTATCTACACATTGGAAGTATAGAACAATTCTTTTTATTCAGTTAATTGCAAATCCACTTTTGTCAAATTAATGTTACACACAAAAATTGTTATTTTCAAAGCCGTCCTGACTTAAATGACTTAAAATAGTAAATATTCAAAAAGCACAATATTAAAAAAATGATTTATTTATTTTATATATTTGCAAATGAAGCAAATGAAACACACATGCATATTGTTTAAGAAGAATCCTTGATTGTATGTTAAAAATTCAACATCTAAAATAACATTTAAATGAACACCGTGTATAATTTCCTGGCACAGAGGAGGTGCTGCTATCTCAAGAAATGCGTCCGAACTAACGTTGTAATGCGTTTGCGTATGAACAATAGCTCGATGACATTCGTGGGTTTTGCTTTTAAAATGTAATAAATAAATATTCAAAAGGACTAAAGTGTTTTCAGTACATTGAGAAAATGGGAGTGTGAAGGTGATAAGTGTTTTAAGTCAGATACTGTGTGATTACCCGGTGTTTTATCAAATTCAGCTATGACTACACGAGGCAAGGTAGGATTTTTGGTTAGGAATTTGTTTTATTTGTTTATGTGGTATGCAAAATTAATTAAAATGAACAGTAGGTTTTGATTATGATTAGTAAAACCTACCTTATATGCAGAAGGTTTAATATACAATTAAAAGCAAAATGTAAAGCTTTGTACTTGAAACGCCATGTTGTTGTAAGGTAATTGCTGTATTTTAAGCAAAATGGAAGCAGTTTATAAAATTCGTTTTTAAATGTTTACGTAATCGTTAGTTTAAATTATGGTGTTGATAATGATAGAAGAAGCTGATTTATAAATGTTAGACTAATTATATTTGGTAAAGCATTTTGTGAATAAAAAGAGTGAAGGTTATATTTATTGCTTATGTACCTATAGGTAATCTCGATACAGGTTTACAAAAAATTTGTTATTTCTACGACAGACTGGATTACAACAGGGCCGGATTAAGTTAATAATAAATGACGTGAATTACATATTACTAAACATAAAAGAATTACATTACTGTTAACGTTTTTGTGTAAATACTAAATAAAAAAAGATAAGCAGCACACGTGTAGAATGTTAGTTGTGGTTAACTAATACCAATTCCCAAAATGCTTATCAATAACTATAAAATAGTCTATAATTATCACAGTTAGCTAAATGTTGTCAAGATTTCACTGTCAGTTGTGATGTACATAATAGTATACAGTGCAGAGGTAGCGAAAGCAGTGGTGTATTGTGTGCGGTATAACTATGTAGAACTTTTAATTAAAATTTAAAGAAAAGATGTCCTTATGAAAGTTTTACTACAATAAATAAAACGGAGCGTATAATTGTTTAACTAATTTATTANGCTTATGTACCTATAGGTAATCTCGATACAGGTTTACAAAAAATTTGTTATTTCTACGATTTCTTCAAAATTCAAAGAATTGAATAACAGAAATTTGACAAAGAATAAAAATATATCATACCTAAGGTTTAAAGAATCTGTATTTTTAAATTGAAACTGATTTTGTGTCGAATGAATTTTTCAATCGGCAAAAATAAGGATTTTGTTGATAAAGTCAGGAAACATTATAATCATTTATTAAAACAACACTTTAATACTGTAAGTTATTGGTTTAATTCATCTTGGATGTCGCCCAAAGATTTTTGTTTCGTTTCGAACATGTACAACTCGGTGAAAAATGCTCCAATAAAGCCAAAGATGGAAAATATCCAAAACGTGTTCCCCGTCCCTAATTCGGAGGTCAACACTGGGGTCACAAATGAAACTGAAAAACCAATTATGTAACAGAACATCGTGGTTATCATTGCAGCCAGTGGTCTTATAGTTGCATAAAAAACCTCTCCCATGATTGTCCACGGCAAAGGACCATATCCCAAATTGAAAGCAAATTCAAATAGTGTCAGACTAGCAATTGGTATCCACCTTCTGATAACGTACACATCATGTTCAATGGCATAATGGTAAATCCCCAAAAAAGCGTTCCCCACTATTATTCCCATTCCCGATACAAATAAAAGTAATTTTCGACCATACCGGTCCACAATAAGGGGAGGTATAGTGCTAGCGACTACTTGAATTCCACCAGTAATAATACCAAACGTAGTTTCCGACAATTTACTGTTAATGGTCGTAAATGTACTGTACATATTTAACCGTACAACTTCCACACCCGATAGTTGTTGAAAAGCGACTAAACACAGGGTCATGACCAATGACTTCCTGACCGGTCTGCTTTGAAAAAGTTGCTTAATTGTTTTGCCTTTTTGCCTTTCGTTTTCAATTTCATTTATAATGGTTCGAAGTTCCACTTCCACTTCCGTTGCGGTAAGACCTCGCAATTTCATCAAGGATTTTTCGGCACCCGAAATGTCCCCTATGACAAGGTAATAGTATGGAGTGTCTGGAAAACTGATGAAGGCAATGAAGAACGCTGCACAAATAAATGAGCAGAGGGTGGAATAAATGGAAATAGCCAAGAACGGCGAAACACTTAGATCAAACAGTATTCCTAAACACACGAAGAAATTTATTAAACATAAGACCCGTCCCCTTACGGATTGTAAGGAGATCTCTCCGAGATATATGGGGAAGGTCGTGTAGAAATTTCCCAATCCGAAACCCCCTACAAATCTCGCAATATAATAGAGGAACACAAATTTGGCAAACGCTAGGATTACAAGCGATATAAAGTAGGGAGCTGCGACGCAAGTAATTAGGGTGTTTTTTCGTCCAATTTTGTTTATGGTAAATGCGGCTGCAATGGGACCTAGAATCGCACCCAAGAAAAAACTGGATCTTATCCAAACCACCTCGTTTGTTTTTACTACTCTGTCGAAGGGATTCTCGGCTAATCTTAATTCATTGGTTAATTTTGGTACGATTGGCACTAACCAAGCCAAATGTATTCCAGTAATAAAAGCAGATATGTTACCTAAAGAAAATTAAAAACATAGTTATTTAATAACCTATTTTAAACCACCCTTATTTATATAAAGTTGGTTGCATGTTGGTATTTTTTGGGTCATGGAGTTCAATAAAACAATCAAGATCAGAAATAAACAAAACGAGACTTAAAAAAGAGCGAACTGTACTTTCATGGACAATAGTGATTTGAGTAATCCAAGACTCTCGTATATGGGGTATTTCTGAAATAAGTAGCAAGTTTTGAGGGGTGTTAAATGGATGTAATAGGGAATCGCATGGTGAATTATGCAGCTTGATTAAAGGAGAAAAAAGATCTCTAAGAAAACCAGAAGAAGTTACAATCCGAAGCCGGCCCTGGGCGTGAATTAGCGACGTACACAGAAATGGCGATAACCACTAATTAGCTACATACATCGATGGAGAATGTAAAAGAATAAAGAATTAATTACTCTAGACGGGCTGTAAAATTAACACTTAATCTGATCTACAAAATAATAAACAACATTCAAAAATACAAAAAAAGTACAACAAGAATTCTGCTAATTAGTTGTTGTATATCCCTGCGTGATCCTATAAGGACCAGACTGACTGGACTTTACTTTCAAATACGGTTTTCTCGGAAACGATGGACTTTTGGACCACCAAACAATTATGACCTCCTGCAAGGTGATAAATGTTTATATAGGGTTGTTCGGAAAGTCATTTCGTTTTTTCCCGACAGAGGATTTAATTGTATTCTTTTGCACCCAACTTCACATTTAAGCCGTATAATTTTTATATGCTTTGAGAGCTCATATAGCAAGGCTTGTGTGTGAAAAATTCCAATTAATTCTACGCAGTAGTTTTTGGTTGGTGCCCTTTTAAATATGGAGAGCGATAAGCAGCATTTTCGACATATCTTACTGTTTTACTACAGAAAGGGTAAAAATGCTGTTCAAGCCAGAAAGAAATTGACTGATGTGTATGGAGAAGGTGTGTTGACAGTACGCCAGTGCCAGAACTGGTTCGCTAAATTTCGATCCGGCAATTTTGATGTCGAAGATGCACCACGTTCGGGAAGGCCGGTTGAAGCTGATAAAGACGCGATAAAGGCATTAGTTGATGTGAACCGGCGAATAACAACACGTGAGATCGGATTGAGGTTAAATTTATCAAATTCAACAGTTTATGACCACTTGAAAGGCCTGGGATTATCCTCGAAGCTCGATGTATGGGTTCCCCATGTTCTCACAGAGAGAAATCTGTGTCGCCGCATTGACGTCTGCGATTCGCTTCTCAAACGTCACGAAAATGATCCGTTTTTGAAGCGCATCATCACTGGGGACGAAAAATGGGTTGTATACAACAACGTCAAACGCAAGAGGTCATGGAGCAAAAAAGATGAACCGGCTCAAACCATTTCCAAAGCCGATATTCACCAAAAAAAGGTGATGCTGTCTGTTTGGTGGGATTTTAAAGGAATCGTTTTTTTTGAGCTTTTACCGGATAACACAACGATTAATTCGGAAGTCTACTGTCATCAGCTGGACAAACTGAATGATGCACTTCAACAGAAAAGGTCAGAACTAATCAACAGGAAAGGTGTAGTGTTTCACCAAGACAATGCGAGACCTCACACAAGTTTGGTCACTCGCCAAAAGCTTTTACAGCTTGAATCGGATACAATGCTACACCCACCATATTCTCCAGACCTGGCACCATCGGATTATTATTTGTTCCGGTCACTCCAAAATTTTTTAGACGGTAAAACCTTCACCTCAAATGAGGAAGTCAAAAACCTCCTCGATCAGTTTTTTGCCAGCAAAGACCAAAAATTTTATGAGCGTGGAATTATGCTACTACCAGAAAGATGGCAAAAGGTGTTGGACCAGAACGGTCAATATATAATTTAATAAAGTGTTTGTTTATTATACGAAAACTATCTTTCATCTCCACAAAAAAAAAACGAAATAACTTTCCGAACAACCCTGTAAATAAATGTTATTTACTTCAGAAACCCCCTGCATTTATAAACTACGTATATGGGGCCTTGCTTAAGGGGCATGGGATTAAAATTCAAATGAAACTTACTTACGAAGACTGTAGACCAGAAATATTTATTTTTATTTTCTACATTGTTGACCACAACAGCAGGCTCGGTGGGAATAGCTACGGGATTAGGATTTGTTTGAAACATTTTCAATTCGTTAGTATTTTATTAAACTATTTTGTCAGTAAGTTGTTAGACCATAAAATTGTTTTCTTTTTTGTCGATGTTGACCTGATTCGAAAAAAAAATAAGATCTTAAATAAACATATGGTATAATTGAGAAAGTGCGATTGCATAAAATGGCTTTAATTTATANAAACTTATCTAAGTCGGAACAGCTAATCGTAAGTGTTGAATTAGTACCTAATTATAATTTATTTACTTATTTAATTCTTCTTGAATTTCGACAAAAGTTTTCCCTTTGGTTTCGATTAAGTAAAATTTAGAAAATATCGCGGCAAAAATGCACAAAACAGACAATATCCAAAAAGTGGGCCCCATGCCGGCTGCTTTGACAACAACAGGAAAAAGATTGGTGACTAGGAAATGAAGAATCCAGTAGACCATTGCAGTGGCCATGGAACTAATTGATCTGACAGCTATCGGAAGAATTTCCCCCACAATGGTCCACGGCAAAGGTCTGAATCCGAGATTGTAGCTTACGATGTAGACAACGAGCAGCACAAAGGGAGCCCAACCCCATTTGTCTTCGTCTCCTTTAATTCTTTTGTCGTTGATATAGAAATAAATCCCCAGCAAAAATTCCGAACAAAACATCCCTATAGCAGAAATCAGAAGTAACGTTCTACGTCCTGCAACGTCTACGATGAAAGGAGTAATGACACTCGCCATAATCTGGACGCCACCCACAATAATTGCCGAAAAATCTGCCGAAAATTTTGTCCCGGTTGCTTCGAAAATAATCGTCACGTAAGACCTTATCGCATAAATCCCGCAAAGTTGTTGGAACGCAACCAAACCGAAGCAAATCAGCAATGCTTTCCTGTAACCTTTCGACTTCCAAATTACACGAATAATATCTCCTCTGTTATTAAGCAGGACGAGAGACGTATGAGTAGAACTAAGTTCCGAACTGACTATGAGCTGATCTCCATGGAGTCGGGTCATCGTTTCTTCTGCCTTTTCAATGTGACCTTTTGTTAGGTAGAAGTAAGGACTTTCGGAAGCAAACAGGAAGGATATTAAAAAAATCGCTGGGAAGATGGTACACAGTAAACTGAATAATTTAATTGAGACAAACGGTCCCAGGCAAAGTCCGTACATTTCTCCCAAACTAATGAAGATGTTGACCGACGATATTATGCCGCCTCTAATAGCTGATTGACCTATTTCTCCGAAATAGATTGGCAAGACTGTGAAGAGGTTTCCACATCCTAGGCCCCCAATGAATCTTGCTACGTAATATACAAATGTGCTTTTTGAAAATGCCAGTACGAGCAACGACGTCAGAAACGGTATCCCGACGCAACTCAGTAGAGTCCATTTTCTTCCTATTTCATCCGAAAGAAATCCACCTACTATAGGTCCCAACATGGCCCCAAGACCCAAGCAGGAAATGATCCATGATTCTTCAATCACGTAGATCGATCGTCCTAGCGGATTTTCATTCAGACGGTTAGTGTTGATCAATTTTGATAAAACTGGAGATGTCCAAGTGGTAAATATGCCGGCAGTGAGAGCTGCCAAATTACCTTTAATGACAAACGGAAAAACTTTTTACATATAAATCAATAAAATGCCAATCGAACATCAGGTGAGATAAAATAATTCGAAGTCTGTATTTTGTCGAAATTGCCAGACGCGGATCGCGATTTCGATCTTTTTGGATTTCATCAGCGCGTCACAGGCAGCTCCAACAGAATACAGACCAACTTTTACCTGCTGTCTTAACAGTGCGTTTTAGAAAAGACCACAAATGGCGCAGTAAACGCCATCTGTAGCACGATGCTACATTTTAGGATTACGTATGCTCCAACAAGGTCCACTTGTGTGGATATCTACTTGCTGAAAACGAATCCCGGCGTAGCCAACCTCAACGTGATAGGCACGTTAGCTTAATTGAATAATATAAATTAATATATTTCTGTTTAATACCCTCTGACTGAGCATTATATTGTCTTTTACTTTATTTTAGATAGTCTGAAAGTCATTATAGTCATTTACACCGCCTGAAAATAGTTTATAGCGCGCCATTATTGAGAGAGATATGATATTAATAAAAGATTGTGTTTCATTTATTTATCTTTAACTATGGCTTCTCGGAGTTGTAAAAACAATTCAAATGTATTTTTTTACATTTGCGGACCATATATAATAGTTAAGCAAAGATTGAATATAACAGACTTTGTAAAAAATGCTTATTAAGCTTACTTCAGAATGAAGTTGTGTCACCAGGATAAACACTGGGTTACGATAAAATATGCCGGTTATGTGTTGAAGTGTTAAGACAGTGGACTTATGGTAAATCAAAATCATTGTTATTAAGTATTTTTATGTCCAAATTAGAATGCAGTTGGAAGTCGGAGTGAAAAATATCATTAATACGAGTTTGAAAAAAAAAAGTATTTCTTCCACCACTTTACATTAAACTTCGTTTGATCAAACAGCTTGTAAAGGCATTTCGACTTGACCAAGGGTGATTATTTCATGTTTAGATATTGAGGTCATCATCTATATAGGTTTTAAGCATATAAAAAATCGTAAGGACACAAAAAATCTTTCCCTGCTTAAATATTGTCGGAGGTATTTTTAACCAAAACCATCGAAAAGAGTATCGTTAAAAACATAAAAAAACACTGGTTATCGAATATTTTTTCGTCGCACTCATTACGTGGCAGGGGTTCAAATGGAAATGTGTTCTCTGAGCATTTATAGGTTAATGTGACGTGGTATACACCATATGAATATCGTTTTCTATTACTTTTGAGACAATTACGACAAATATTAACAATTTAAGAAAAAAACTTTTCAAAAAAAAAATTTCGCAGACCTGTGTTATAGTATGGTTAAACCAAAAATAAGAAAATAAGTTTAATTTTATTATAATGACATGGATACGAAATTTAATAATTAAATAGTCGTTTTTAATAGTTGAGCACATTTAAATTTTTCTATAGACAATTTCGTTTACAATATACTGACTTATTATTGTAATTTGTATCGTCTATATCTGCTTTCTCTTTATTTGACCTCTACAATGTCGAACATCATATTAAGCAAGTTACTGAAATAAACGAGGTTTTTTATGAACGTTATGACTGATACGATAAGAGACTTGTTTGTAAGAGTATTACTGTTGTTGAACATGAAACTTTCAATTTAAAATAATTTAAACCAACAAACGATAGAATAAATATGTTTAAATAATTTGGAAACACGTAGGCACATGGTACATATAAATTAAATAAAGTACTCTAAAAAATATTTTGCATTTGCACTTTTATTTAAACTTTTGTAAAATCTGAAAAGTAGGCAGATATACTGGAAAAAGGGTTATTTTTATTAATAACTAACCGTAATGAGCTCGCTTAACTAAGCAAAACCCTATTCACCCCTTCAGAGATTAAATTTTTTAAAATTAAATTATTATGTACCTCCTTACATAAGTATGTCAAAAAGCATTAACACCAAATTTCAAATAAATCTGACTAAAAATGAAACATTTCCCATAAAAACATAGGAATCCTATTTCACACCTTAAAGGTTAATTTTCAAAAATTGCCAAAAAACGTTCGTTTAATTACTTCTATCAATGAGCATTGAGAACAAGTTCAAGTAAATCTGATCAACTCTTGATCCA